AGGTGGTGCTCAGTTGGGTTCCAGAGAACCCAAATTCCCCAAGAGGCCCTTTCTGCTGGTAGGGTAACCCATTGGTAGGGTCTTCTACCCCACACACTGCCGACTAACTGTAGTTCAGGCTCCGACTGTTTGGTCTCAGTTAAGGCTAGGATGGCCAGACAAAGTTTGACAGAGAGGTCCCTAATAGAGTCCCTTTTGGACTTCTGTCCCAACCCTCTAATGTTCCAGGATAGGATCTGCATTGATAGAGGAAGGAATAGCGGGGGAGGCAACCCTGACCGACCGCCTAGAAGAGGGAAGCACCGGGTTGGTGGAAGGAGTTTGGGTACTGTCAGGGTGTTTGTTATAGCTAATAGAGAAAAAGAGATTAGGCAGCTCCCTTTGACCTTTTGCGCTCACCTTGGCATGACTATGGGCATCAACTAGCATGAAGCGGTGCGCCGGGCCTTCAGGTCTGTCGTGTTCGAAGCCCATAACCCGAAAAATCTCCTTCATTCTTTGTGCGACTTTGTTGTCCCCATCCTCGTCGACCCTCTCGGCTTTTGCGGCTGCCACGGGGGGAGAGATGGGAGCAGGAGAGGAGGGGGTGGTAGGGGTTCTAGGCAGATACTGTTAGGCTGAGAACCTAGCGGGGAGAGGGGCCAAGGTGATTCCAAGGGCGGTTCCGAGGGTGGGGGGAATAATTGAGAACTGTAAAGGTCAGGTGGCAAAGGTGGTGAGTCCACTGAAGTAGGAGTGGGAGGTAGGTCAGCGGACGCTGCAGACATAGGGACCTCCGACGTGTCAAAGGCGAGGAGGGATTCAGCGGGAACTACAGGGGAGGGGGCCGGCAGGTAACCCAGGTAGGAAGGGGGAGGGAAAGCACCATAGAAAGGGGATGAAAAAACGGGGGAAAGGGCTATTGCACCATAAGCATTGAGAGGTCTTGGACTGGGGTTGGGTTGTAAAGTGACATGTAGTGGTGGGGGTAAGGGTGGGGGACAGTTGCAAATAGGCAGGGAGAAAAGGTTGGGTAGGGGAAGTGAACGGTAGTGATCCTATCGATATGGACAAGTTGCGAGGATTGGGGAAAGTAAGGGGCGAGGAGAGAGGAGAGGTAGGCCGGGTCGGGGGGGAGGGGTCAAGGGAGTGCACTGCAAGGATGCCATAGGGGAGCAGGGAGGTGTCCACTTCCATTGACAAAAGTGAGGAGAACAGCACAGAGGAGGACGATGAAAAGCCACTCTCAGAAAGAAGGTGTAGTGGCAGGAAGGAAAAAGAAAGCAGTGAGAAGGCCCAAGGGTTGAGAGAAGGGCTGACTTCTCGGCTACCAGAAGGAGAAGGGGAAGCCAGATGAGAAAGCAAGGGAGGGGGCCAGCCAGGGGGAGGTGGCTGAGGGGATGGGGGAGTGGCCGAAAAAGGGGAGGAGGGAGAGGGGACCCCCTGGGAACCAGAAGGGGGAGAGGAGAGATGAGAGGGCATAGTTTGAAAAGGGGGTGGGGAGACCTCACCCAAGGGAGGGGGAGAGGGGACAGGTGGTGGAGATCCAGGCGCAGACGAGACGGAGGTAGGAGAGGAGGGAGAGGAAGGCGGCTGTGAGAAGCCAAGTGTTGAGGCGAGGGGGGAGGGGGAGGGACGGCAAGGCTGTTGACTGCATGTCGAGCATGCGAGGCAACGAGCAGGGGTGAGCAGAGAGAGCGGGGACAGGTGTTGGAGCCTCGACAGAGAATCTTGGGATGAGGGTCAAGTTACTAGGGAAGGAGCCCAAAAGGCCTTTCGAAGGGGAAACCGGGTCACTGGCGCAGCTCGATGGTCTAGGGGGGAAAGGGTGGTCACCATCCACTATTACCTCCTTCCCGGGTCGGTGTGGAGGAGGGGTCGGCAGGCCCGAGGGGGACCCACCGAGTTTTGCTACCCCGCCGGCTTTGGGACAAGAGCCAAAGGGGGTGGGCTCGAGGCTAAGCTGTGGCTCCAACATCCTGGCATAGGGGCGCTGCATGGTTGCCAAGTGGAGAGCTGGGGGCGAGCATGAGGACCGGGCCCAGCGCGGCCCACGACTGGAGCGGGGCCATGGGGTTGGTAGTGGCGGCGCCGTTGGTGGTGGCATGGATTCCGGGAAACAGTGGTCTAGGACGAGAGTGAAGGGCCCTTTGCCATGGGAGACGGCCGGTAGTTGAGAAAATTAGCCGAGGGGGGGGGGGGGGGGGGAAGCCTCTGACCAAGAGAGAGATATAGGGTAAACAAGGATATCAGCCTCAATCCACACACAAGGTGGGATGAGCTTTGAATCCAGAACCTCCACCAGAAGACGGATGGACCCAAGCAGAATTGTTTCAATGGACTTCCAGTGAATGGAAATAAAACTGCCATAGGCCTCCGCCACTCTTCGAAAAGTGGACGGAGACCAAACATGATGGGCATGTGGTGAAGAGTGAGCCAGATTTTGCGCTTTCTAAAGGACCCTTCCAAAGGGGTCCAAGCTTGAAGACGGAGGGTAGCCCCCTTGAAGGCTAAACAGTTGGAGTTCTGTAACGCCTGACAAGCATGTTCTGTGGACGAGAAAGAGAAAAGAAAGTCACCACCAGAGAGGCGCCTAGCTGTGATGTTAGGGTCTTGCCAAAAGTTTTGTCACCATTTTTCTATTCCTCTCGCATTGTCTCGTGAGGGCTGGAACGTACCAACCAAGGAGGCAAGATATTTGGATTGAAGAAGGGAGGACTCTCTAGGGGGAATGGAGACAAAGAAAGGGAAAAACGGGGAAGCCTTAAAAGGGGGGGAAGAACACCCCTTTGAGGCCACAGGAGATGCTATGGGAGCAGAGGAAGATGAGGGGCGAGCAGTTACCTGTGAGTAGGAAAAAGGGAAGGAGGAGGTGGGGGCCGTTGCCGCTGAAGCCTCCTGCAAAGAGATGGGTGGAGGGGCCTGTTTCTCCTTCAAGACGGAGAGGCCGAACGCACGAAGAGGGGGCCGCGGCCTGGTAGGGGGAAGGGGAGCACACCGGGATGGCTAGGGGTACAGATCATAGATAAGATTCCAGTTGAAAGGGGAGGGAGAGGGAGGAGGAGGACGACGACGTCTCCGCCTCATGAGGGTAGGACTACTTGTCCTGCCTACTTTGAACTTCATTTTTAACATGATGAAGTTCCAAGTTATGTCATCCACGGTTTATAAGCATTGGACCCCAAGTAGCACATCACATCCAGCCAATGGAAAAAAAAATGGAGTTCAGTCTCAAAGTGAAACCCTTGAATGACAATGGGTACCTTTGAGCAAGGAAGAGTGCTAGGTAGGCGTCTTCATCCAATCATTACCTGGAAATGCTCATCTTCAATCACCTTGTATCCAATTTGTTTGGAAGATTTGGCTCATAAAATTGTGTGCAGTACCTGAATCAATCTAGATGGTGACCTGCTGTTGTTTGATGTGTCCCCTGATCTGCATTGCCTTAGGTGGAGCCACCCAATCATTGTGTGCAACAAAATCTCTGGAATGTCTTTTTCTTACTCCACATCATCTTCCTTCGTTTCCTCCTTGTGCCAATCCCCTTCCATTAGCAAAAGTTGTTGTGACACTTGTAGCATGGCTTAAATTTTTCATCACAATTAAAACACGAGCCTTTCTCCCATTTAGCACTCATCTCTATTGGTGTTAGTTACTTTATAGGAGCATTACTCGGTTTCAATCTGGAATGAGCATTGGAGATGATAGGCTTGCTATCGGTACCCTTGGTTTGTAATCTATGAATTTCTAGTTTTTCTTCTTGGAGACATGCAAGCCCTATAGCTGATGAAATCGTGGTGGGTCTGAACAATTGGTACATCCTACGGTATCCTTTAACCCATAACAAAACAAAGTACCAGCATTGGCTCTGTCTATCCTACAATTCTATTTGGTAGATGTTCAAACTGAGTTTGATACTCCTTGACAGAGGAAGTTTACAACAATTTCATCAATCCACCATTGAAAATCCTCATAGGGTTGCCTCATTTTCTGTAGACCTTTTCTTTATTAATACAAGTGAACATTCTAAAAAAAAAAAAAAAATCCTCATATGTTGTAGGTCCAAACTGAATGCAAAGGGCTTAAGTGAATTCAGCCATGTAGGAACTTCTTTTCCTTTTTCTCACCATTGGAACCATTGGGTTGCTTCTTTTACTGAGTGAAAGGATGCCAAAGGAAACTTCTGTAGTTATGGTGTCTGCTGAAACCGGAAAACTGCTCTGAGCGATGGATCCACCCTGTAGGATCATCCCCATCAACCAAGGGAAAGGTAATTGTACTAATTGAGTTTGCACCGCACCATTGGCCTCCCTTCATTGGTGAGAACCTTCATTCGTGCCCAATTGGGGGAAATGTGTTTCAGATGACTCCCTCATTCTTTTGGCCATAACTTGATATATTATCAGGTTAATGGCAGTGAGCTTCTCACTTATGTTGGTCATCACTAACTCTAGCTTTCCATCCCTTTCGCCTTGTGAGATTTAGTAGACCCAATGTCCATCCACAAAGAAGTGAACTCTCGGCCACTAAACCAAGGCGTGGCTCTGATACCAAGTAATAAGATCAAATTAAGAGTGAAATAGAAATTCACATTAAATGTGCAAAAAGAAAACAAAGATAGATCCCACTTCAAGGAGAGTCCTCCTGGGCGTTTTCACACACTACGATTTCCTCTCTTCCCTGCTCTTCCCCCCCCCCCCCCCCCCCCTACCAACATACATGCACAAAAAAGAAAACAAATGTTTTAATTCTCCCTACTACCAACTCCTAAAAACTATCATGCTACTTAGCCCAAATCTAAAATTTAAATCCCTTCTTCAGTTTCAAGTTCATTGTTGTTGATGAATTTTTACAAATGTTAGATGATAGATTTCTGTCAGTATATTTGAAGCGTTCACTGTGAAGAGCCATCATCGTATGCAAACAATGACTTAGCCGTTTCTTTATTGTTTATTTTTATATGTTATACAACAGCGATATCTTCTCTTGCTATTTCTTCATTTCTTGACTTCTTTTGACAGGTTGTTGAAGAAAGTGAAGTTATAATTCTCTCTGTGAAGCCTCAAGTGGGTATGTGAATGTGTACTGGTGCAACTTTTTGCCTTTCAAGTTTATATGAAATTAAGAGTTATTTCATTAAATAAATGAATGGTGATTTTGTTTACTTCGAATTTTTTAGAAAAGAACCCAAATCTTGATAGATTGATTGCTTTCTTAACTGATATTGCTTCTCTGATGTCCATCAAATGGCAGTTTCATATGTTTCTGTGATGAATTCATTGTTTTAAGGGTTGTATACAATGTGACCATTTACCTTTGATACAAGGAGGTTACAATTATTTATAACCATCCGATGTGAAAGTTGATAGCTTGGGTGTCTTTTGAGGTTTGTGTATGGTCCGTGGAATAAATGCAACAATTCAATTTCACATCCAATGGTCAAATTTTTTGTGACCACCTTGGTAAATGGTCTCGTTTCCTTGTTTTTAAATCATTCATCTTCATAGTGAATCTTGTTATTATTTGTTTTGTAATAAATGTCAATTTCTTTGCCCCTGTCTGGTAGAGAGCACCTTAGAAATGGTATCTTAATGAGCAAGCATGAGGTCTCTGCCTCAACTGCATCACCCTAAGCCTAGAGTTTAGACTTTAGATTATTCATGCCTTTCCAAACCTTTAGAAGATCACAGTAAGGCATTATCCCCATAAGAGGCCTTATTCCACTAATTTTGAATTCTTGTAGTATGCAGTCAATAACGCATAAAGTGCACTAGTAATAGGAGTGGGAATGTTGTGGAATAAAGAATAAACAACTTTAAGATGTATATTAGTCTTGTATTTTAGGCTGTGTAATTTGTTAACTAGTTTTTGGGTAGCTTTGTCATATTCAACCCAACCATCTGTATATATGGATTAATCCTGAACTCTAATTAATAAGAACTTTGCCCAAGTATCTCTGATTCTAACATGATCAAAACCCATGATCTGTCTAAATCTATAGCGAAATAAGTTTTGCACACAAAATCAGATAATACTGTATGGGTCACTAATAATCTGTGGTATGTGATATCAATTGAAATCTTGAATCTGTTTTGGAGTTCAAAACCCTAGAGTGTAGCAGAACTGCAGCGGCATATAGTGATCACTGTAGCTGTTATGTAGTGAACTAGTGATCACTGTGCTGGTAGTATGACAATCACTTTAGCAGTCTGTAGGAGTGTTGGTACAGTTCCATATAATCACTTGAAACCCTAAATTTCTTGGTTATTTTTCTTTTCTTGTTCTCACAATTCCACTGATGTACATATTGACAGTTTTTGAAGCTAAATAAAGAAGTTTGAAGCTTTTCAAGGGGATTTAAGTGGTTTTTCAACTTTTTTCGGAATTGGTGTTCTAAATATTCATTTCAAGTGTTTTGGGGCTTCATTCAAGATTATACCAGTCTCATGGATTTCTCTTAGGAATATTTTCATGGGGTAAAAGTAGTGTGAGCAAAACCAATACTGGCCTGGTTCGACCTTGTCTCAGCTATCTCTGGTTCTAGTTTGACCCAATTCTGATATACGCAGCTTAGTGCCTGCTAACCGAGTATAAAATCTGCTTTAAATTGACTGCTTTGTTTTAATATCAGTTATTTGCTGATTTATCTTGGATATTATAAACTTAATACAAGTTCTCTTCAAGCAATGGAGCCCACTTGAAGAGCATTCTAAGCCACTCCTACTTCCTCCTAAAGTTCTTGCATCATGAGTTATTCAATAGCAAAATCATTTCCAACTCAGGCTGTAGCTACTTCTTATTTAATCCCTCATGGATCTCTTTACAAGGAGGCACCTCAGTAGGTCTTCAACCACTTTCACGCTCTTCGTTGTCAGGTATTCTTAGTGTGTAATCCAGTTCTCACTTTGTCTGGGTAGTGCAGCTAGTCATATGGCTGGGGATACTTAATTACTATTTTCTCTACTTCTCTTTGAAGGAAATAAATCACTCTACACTACTAATGGTTCTAAACTCAGTAATGAGCAAAGTAGGTTCAATGAGGCATTGAGACTTTGTCTGTTTAGTATGTCCAATATATTGTTTGTTCCTCAGGTAATCATGAACTTGCTATTTAATTTAGGGGTGAGGTTTGTTTAAGTTTACCTCTGAATACTGTAGAAGTAAGACGCACCTGTAAAATTTGATAGAGATACCGTTCCGATGTCATAAACCTCATGGTAGCTTGAAAATCTATTTGCATCCCTAGGTATAAAATTTAAAATTTAAATAACGTTACAAATTAAGAATATCAATAAACACATGAAAGTCTTGAAAATAGATGGTCCAGATCACTTGTTACAGGATGCACTATTTTTTGTACTTAAAATTCTTTTTTTCTTCATGTCTATATATTTCGGGTCGAGATGATCAATTGGAGGGTTGTCCAAGACCCAAACACGCTTTTTGTGGGATTTTTGAGGTGCCCCTTACTTCAATGGTGCAAGGTTGCAACCTTATGTAAACTTTTTCCTGTAGTTTAGTCAAATTGCTTGTTAGTTCGTTTGTGATGTTTGCTTGATATAGGGAATATCATAAAGAAAGCTGATTCATAGAGGTCATAAAGTATGACAACTCTTTTGCTTAAATTGCTTTTTGAAGCCTCTTAGTGGCCGTTTATCAGTTATCAGAGTGTCAGATCAGTTTCTCCATACTTGGCAGATCTGGCGTAGGTGTCTAGGTCACTTTGGTTCGAATTATAGTCGGGGGAACCGTGTGGGCGGCCACAGTCCCAGTTTAGAACCGCCATGGGAACGGTTCCATCAGGGGATCTTGATGGGTTCGCGAATTATCGATTTATGGTCCTTGTTTCTTCTACTTTTAAACTGCTATTCCCAAATTTGGGAACCATGTTTCTTTGTACGTGTCATTTCGTTTTTTCATTTCTGTAACTCTCGAATCCTCTACTTTTGAACCACAGTTCCTGAAAATGGGAACCGCGTTTCCAGTAAGTATTGACTGTGATTCTCATAGATAGGATCCTCTTTTACCAACAGTTTTGATCATGGTCCACATAAGTAGCACTCTCGTATAAAGCAAGTTTTAATCATAACATACCATAATTTTTATAAACCTTGAGTCGTATCTAATAAGGATTCTCATTTCTTGTAGGTTTTGAAATAAAGATCATTTTTGTTACAATAGGCGAACCCTAAAGGATGGAAACGATCTATTCATTATTCCATTGGTTCCGTCATCCGTGACTTTCGTCATGCAAATACCATTGGGCACATAGAAGATTCGAGTGCTTCAATGGGCCAAGATGGTATCGTTAAGGTGAGGGATGGTAAATGTAAATTCTCAAGGTGAAACTCAGAATCCCTATTCAATATTTAGACAACGATACCATTCTTCCTGGGACTCTCACTTCTCGTGGTCAACAACATGCACACATTTACCTTGTTGCAATTCCTCTGGTGATCCTCACCTTTCAGACTCAAAGTGTCTCTTTGAACCCAACACCATCACAAGGTGTCCAATCTTTTATGCCCCAGCCATTTGGATGTTTGTTGCCAGCTTGTGCCCAACCCCTTTTGCTCTTGTGTTCTCCACACCCTACTGACCCATGTTGTACTAACCTGTCTTCTTGTCCTGGTGAGTATTCCTTGTACACCTCCAATGAATCCATTCCCTTAACTCCACCACCTCCAGTGCTTCCAATTCCTCCTGGACGTTGATGCGGGCGACTAGCAATTAGGGTTGGTAACTGGGGCAGGCCACAACTTCAATATAACTCCAATAGGGCTTGAGAAGGGCGACAATTGCGTGCCTCCAATTCGTTGGTCCAAGTGCTGGATAGTGTTGGAGGACCGACAAACTTTTCTTCCTTTCTATAGTCTTATAAATTATTTTATTAATGCAGTTGTAATCATTCGAATGTTATAAGGCATTTGTTTCTTTCCGAGCTTAATTTTCAAGTTTATTATGAAGTAGGCTGTCTCTAGGTGATTTGTGCGAACCCACAACTCTGCCTCTAGATACTGTTTTCCACGGTAGCATTCCAAAGGCAGAAATAGGACAAGAATTAACTCCTTAGATTATAGTGATTGGAGGGCTTTAGTGACATGGTGTTTTATATTTTTTATTTTCTCATGAATTACAAACTTATTCAGTAGCAAGATAAATCAGCCCCAAGTGTCAATCTACATTTTCTTTAACAGTTGATAACGAATATGATATGAAGACTGTGCATAAAGTTCTTGATTATATTAGAATCATGATACTATGTCTCCATTAGGATATTGGCATCAATGTATTTTAAATTTTAAACCTACAATTTGTTAAGGTATTGAGCTTTGAAACTATGAACATGGTAAATTATTTTATAATGTAGCGAACTGAAAGAAGTACAGTATACTTTGTTGCAATTTAAGCAATCCTTGTGGAACTGTGGATGATAGTCATAGGAACCTCGGTAGATTGTGTCTGCAATTAGTGGCTCTTTATTCATCCTCTCATGAATCTCCAATTAGTGGCTCTCATTCTCTCATGAGATTCCTCTTTAAGGCATCTACATTTCAGTTTTCCGTAGTGAGAATCCATTATATATTGAACGGATGCCATAGTGATTATAAATGTTCATCACACCAAGTTTGAAGTTTGAAACTTTTACTTACCTGTTTCAATATTATAAAATTGGGTGTAATTGTATAAGGCTGAGGCCCTAAACAATCAAAGTAGGGCCCACCTTCAAATGGTGTCGAAAGATGTTGTTTCAGTACTGGAAATCTTTGGGCCTGAAAATTTATTTTCATATCTAATTATAAAATTTGAAGCTTAAAAAATAGTCTAGATCAAGCAGATCTATGAACACTTGAAAATGTTAAAAATTAACGGTCCAAAAAATGCATTACAAGATGCACTATTTCCAGGGCTCGAAATCCATTTTTTCTATATACATACACGTTTGGAGGTCAAGATGAACGATTTGAGGATTTTGGGCATCAAAACAACCTCTTTTAGTGAATTCTTGAGGTGCACATTAATTTAATTGTTTAGGGCCTCACCCTTATAAACTTTTTCCAATAAAATTT